TGATTCGGCAATGACTGTTACCCAAGCCTGAAAATCTACGCAAGTACCTCTAGTTCTACTACCTAATCCAAATATTTTAACACTCTGGGGTTAAGTCCTATCTAAAAGTCCTAAGTAAAACTGTCCCACCTTTTGCTCAGATATTTATGCATAGTGGGATATAAGCACCTTGAAAAGTTGAAGTTACTCATAGTCATACAGTTCAATATTTTATTTAAGTTTTCATTGGCAGTGCTTCTGACTCACAGTGATGTCTTATGAGCGTCGACGTCCAAGTTCCAAGACTGCTTTTAATCCATCGAGGAGGTTGAAGCAGAATTTTCCAATGCTTCGGAATTAACTCGTCATCCGCAGTTAAGAGTTTAACGATTGCTCGCGATGTGGGCACATCTGCGGAAACTTCGAGCGTTAAATAGCCGCCATAAACCCGAACCATCTACGTAGGTCAGGCCCAAGAGACGGTGATTCCGCGAATGGATTCTTACAAAGGGGTGCAAGAGATGCTCGTCGGAGTTTGGATGTCGACGCGACACGTTCCCAGGAGCAAGCCGGTCCCAAACAGACGCGTATGTTCTCGCAAAGCGCGCCAATTAGCGTAATAATCGAGGCTGCGTAATTACACGAGCGGAACTGGCGCGTTGGGTAAGCGTATCCGGTGGGAAGCGAGTGGAACGGGAGGAGGGGTACAGAAGCTTTGTACGAAACTTGCAGCGGTCGTTATTTGCATCGTCGCTTATTAACTTTTTCCCTTTGAAACTGCGCCGAGCCGAACGATTTTTCCGCTCGCCATTTCTCCTGCCTCCGCTATCCCTAAGGCGACTATCCCTAAGGCGATTCCCTGCGTAGCCGATATCGAAGAAGCTGGGAGGAGGACGCTCTTACGCTGGAAAATCAACTCGCTCCCCTGTGAGCAGAAGTGAACAAAAATATTGGCTCGTTTAAGCACAATTTTCAGGGTATTACGCGCTATCGGCTCACGCCGGGGTGGATCTTGAATAACCTTCGGTGGTTAAGTTGCTTGTAGTACGATGGCTCGATGGTGTTTCCGTTTGGATAATGCTGTGGACCCAAAGGGAGAAATCTCTTGTTAAACAGACTCCGACGATTCGGGTCTTTAAATGTGTCTTTGGCATGACCACGTGGAGATCAATTTTACGATTAAATTTCTTAGTTTCTTAATCAGAATGACAAGTATAACGTCGATGCATAACGCTAGAATAATTTAATAGCCGTTTTATTTGAGTAATACTTTCATGGAGAAATCTGTTCTTAGACAGACTGATTATTCAGAGTTCTGAATTTGACTTTGACCACGAAAATTAAATTAATAATTAAATTCCTTGGTTTCTTAACGAGAATGACGAGTATAATATCGGTGTCTAATGCTGGAATAATTTAACAGCGTTTTCACTTTGGTAATAGTGTCGTCTTTCATGGAGGAGCCTGTTCTTAAGCAAACTCTGATTATTCAGATTTCTAAATCGCGAAAATTAATTTAACTTTTAAATTCCTTGCTTTCTTAATCAGAATCACGAGTATAATATCGATATTTAACGCTAAAATAATTTAATAGCGTTTTCGTTTGAGTAATACTGTCGTCTTTCATACAGAAATCTGTTTTCAGACACACTCTGATGATTCAGATTTGTAAATCGCGAAAATTAATTTAACTTTTAAATTTCTTGGTTTCTTATTCATACTCACGAGTATAACGTTGATGTCGAACAATAGAATAATTTAATAGCGTTTCTGTTTGGGTAATACTGTCGTCTTTCATACAGAAATCTGTTTTCAGACAGACTCTGATGATTCAGATCTCTAAATTGCGAAAATTAATTTAACTTTTAAATTCCTTGGATTCTTAATCAGAATGACGAGTATAACGTTGATGTCGAACGATGGAATAATTTAATAGAATTTTCGTTTGGACGACACTGTGATCTTTTGTGGAGACACCTGTTTTTAGACAGACTGATTATTCAGAGTTCTGAATTTGGCTTTGACCGCGAAGATTAATTTCATAATTAAATTCCTTGGTTTCTTAATCATAATCACGAGTATAATATCGATGAATAATTCTAGAATAATTTAATAGTGTCGTCTTTCATGGAGGAGTAGTCTGTTCTTAGACAGATTTTAAGTTCCTTGGTTTCTTAATCAGAATCACGAGTATAATATCGATATTTAACGCTAAAATAATTTAATAGCGTTTTCGTTTGAGTAATACTGTCGTCTTTCATACAGAAATCTGTTTTCAGGCAGATTCTGATTATTCAGATCTCTAAACTGCGAAAATTAATTTAACTTTTAAATTCCTTGGATTCTTAATTAAAATGACGAGTATAACGTTGATGACAAACGATAGAATAATTTAATAGAATTTTCGTTTGGTCGACACTGTGATCTTTTGTGGAGAAACCTGTTTTTAGACAGACTGATTATTCAGAGTTCTGAATTTGGCTTTGACCACGAAGATTAATTTAATAATTAAATTCCTTGGTTTCTTAATTATACGGATGAGCATAAGAATGGAGCGAAAAATAAATTTAATTCGAGATATAACTACGACAATTTGAGAATTTTCATTTGAATAATGCTGTTGACGTTCGTGCATCTTGGTGGATATTTTTAAGAAGATACTGAGGGTGTCCCAGTTTGTATAATTTCTCCCACAAAACGAAGAATAAATTTAATTACTAAATTTCTTGGTTTCTTAATCGTACGGATGAAAGAATTATGTAAAAAAATTTTTTTCCAATTTTTAATCGCATGGTCAAGTGTAATTCCGTGTAACGCGACAGTTCGACGATTTGTCAGATTTTCCGTGTAGATAATTTAGTGGACGAGATTTCGTGTGGGTTTCAGGATTTATAGATTTATTTCCAACGACTATGAAATGACGAATGAGTTTAATCACGAAATTCCTTGGATTCTTGATCGCACGGACGAATGCGATACTAATGTATAATAGCACGATGTTTCTGTGGAGTTTTCATTTGGATAACATCGCAAACATTCGCGAATAAATTTCCTTTTAAATAGACTTCGCGGATGTTTCGGATTCTCTGTTTAACAGCGGATGAATTTAATTACCCTTTGACAACGATGCAGCAATGAATAATTTTAACAGACAAATTCCTCAACTTGCTTGGATCTCCTTGTATAATTTGCGGGGAACGAAATAACGCGATAATGGCTGGTTAATACTTTAAGAAGATACTACAAAAGATATATTTTTATAAACAGTCTTGTGGCGTGTTTCAAATACTTCACTTCGCACAGAACAAATTTAATTTTCCTTTTAGGTCGTCGAAACTAGCCACAAATTCGATACTTAAATTCCTCCGACTGTTAATGGCGTGGATAGAAAAGGATGTTAACCCCGATTCTTTCACATTCGCTATTCAAAGTATCCCAAAAAGCGATGGAACCTCGGCTACGAAGAGTATCTCCGCGGAAGAAATTAATTTCCTCGGACACCATGAATCGTCGCGGCGCTGGGTCGCCCCTGACGGATGATGAATGTCGTTCGAAGTTGCTTCGCGAGATGGCGCGATTGAGTTAAGCGGCCGAGGCGCTGTATGCCTAACGGTGCGTTTACGTGATAAACGATAATTTATCTTGAGATGGCGGCTGGCCGAGACAGACTGCCGCGTGATTCCGGGAATCCCCAATAACGTGTCCAGCCAGCGTGATGTCGTTCCTTAGCCGTATTTTATCGAGAAATAATGGAAGCACGTAGGTAAGTCGGCGTACTTAACGTCCACGTTCGAACGCCTTTCCCGATCGCCAAGATTTAACGTCCGGGACGATCCACTGGCACTGTTCCGTGATAAAATCGAACGATTTCGACTCGGACCGAGGCACTACGAGGATAGAATCGAAGGACCAAGAATTCTGAAAGGTGTGACGAGGTCGGAAGGTCGGAGAACGTAGGAGAGCGAATGGTAAAATTTGGTTGGAACCAAGAAAATGGTACTGCGATCCGATTGCTTCGGGATATTCTCGCGTAAGGATCGCCAAGCTAAATGGATAGAAAGGGAATCAGGCTACCGGGAAATTGTTCCAGGACACGTTCCAAGGGATTGTTTCGTCGGTGTACGTTTGCAGAATCTTTATCGCCTAAAGGAGAGACGTTTAGGAGCCGTTTCGATAAATGCAAGGACCTGGACGAGCCTTCGGCCGAATCTCCTACCCATTGTGAACGACTGTCACACAATTCAGGATACTACTAGCCTAGGATTGCTTCGAACCTTCGCGATTCTCTCTGCAATGCAAATTCAACGGGCCATAACTAACGGTAATCCCTTAGGAACTGCTCGCGTGAGATTTTAGAAACGTCGATTGATGGAAAAAGGTGCACAGAAATGAAAATTGATTTATATACGAGTAAATGAGCCATTCTGCCTTTCCAATTTATATAAGTCGCGGTACAAAACTCTATGTAAATTTCTGAGACGAATTACGAGAATTTTTGAGCTTTTGTTCTTATTAAAAATCAACGTCCATAGTCACAAGTGGTAAATTAAAAGAAAAGTATGTATCCACACGACTCTAATGTACAATAACAGTCGGAAGAATCGTGAATTAAAAATTAGCAAGTTCCAATATAATATATTGGTCCATAGTTGTTTGCTGAGACAGACTTAAAACGACTTTGCACGGAACTCACTAGCGCCACCACGGTCCATATCTCCGATAAAGCAACCTACTGTAAATATCGTAGAATTATTTTCTAACTTTACTAAGATAACTTCACATCATTCCTCTCGATATATATATCATATTATTTCAAATATTTTGAGTAGTGAAAGTGAAAACTTGGATATCGACGAAGGTGATATTAAATATATAGAAAATGGCAGTAACTAAAAATAAAATTTCCCAGTAATTCCGAGGTAAAAGATCGAACTGCACGATGATCTGTACAGCGAAAAACAAATCACAAAACTGATCCACGGTGTGTTAAGAACCGCAGGCAACTTTTAGTGCAAACTTACAGGTACGAGTTCTTCTGGTCCCAAGAAACGAGCTCCGTGACGACGAACCGGCCGGAAGTGAGGGCAATTCTCCTCGGTTTGTCGGAGGAAACGTTCGTAATTGCGACTGCATGCCTCCAGTAGCTATCGTCGTGCTGCTTTTCCGGCAGAATCGTGAGGAACGAGTCTCCGTCGTCGCTGAACATCGGCGGCTCGAACTGCTCGACCCATCCGTGGTTCTCGAAGTGCTTCAGCGCCTGCAAGGATGAATATTTCATTCGTCTTTCATCTCTCGTTCTTCTCCTTCTGCGAAAACGCTGGCGAAAAATTGCACGTCGTCGAATTCGACGATGCTCTTGTCAGGCATCGAGGGCCTTTTCTGCTGATGAGCGGCTGGAGGACGTATCTCGCGGTGTCGAGTGTCCTCTGGGAGTTAGGTTCCTTTGTGATTTGTATCGCGAGTGGGAGTCAGAGGATAGAGCATTTCGGAAAAAGGAGGACTCTAAAATTCGGTGCTCTGTAGTAGCGATGAGATAAACGTCGTTGATAATAGGAAGAAAAATGGAGAAATTAATTTTCCAGAGCTTCGAGATGGAACACATTTTGGAATATTCCGAGGGAGATCGAAGGGTCGAATATCTTGAGAGAAATTTGATATTCGATAACGGTGATGGAACGGAATCGTGAGATGAGATAGAGGATATTAATAGTCGGATGAATAACGAAGAAATTAATTTTGTAAAGCGTTTTGATAAAATAACTCTTAGAATATCTTGGAAAGGAGAATCGATAGAGACTGTTTTAGTTGATCTATATCAAATTCCACGTTTGACATCGTCCATGGAAGAAAACAATTCGACGTAATAATCACCATCCAAAGACAAAATACAAAATATAAAAAAAATCAGGGAAATGAATTTTCTCGAGTTCCAATTACGCAGGAAATCTTATAACACGCTGCGAAGACTATTCAAAAGACAGGGATTCTTAGAAACAACCAAATTTAAAAATCCGAGAGTGACAAGGACGCGATAATCGCTACCAGATCATCGCAAAAATGAAAAAGAAACGAAAACAAAGAAAACCAAAAAAAAAAGGTGAAATTAATTTAATCAAGCTTCGAGCCAAACGAAATTTTCGGAAATTCGAAACGCGGAGTGTCTGGGAAGAAATCGAGTTGAAAATTCCAGCGTCTAACAGCGTCTGCATAAACGTTAACAGCGTCGCGGCGGAAAATCCGGCGAAATTAATTCCGCGAAGCTGGTACTGATGAAAACTGGAGGATATACGCCTTCGACTGTCTCATCCGACGATAAACTGCAGCGTGCAACGATAAACGGAATAACACCCTCTTGGTGGAGTTCGTCTTCGCAGACGGAGCCACCCCCTTTGCCAGCGAGCCGAACGAATCGCGATACTTTCGACGGTACCGCGAATCTAATTAAACTCGGGAAATTTCGTCTTTTACGGACGATAAAACCGTGGCGAAATTCGAAATAAAAATCAGGCGATGAATCGCGATAGCCCTCTATGCAGGCGGGCAAAAAATCGGTGAACTCCCCGCGGACTTATCGGGCTGGCGGCTTCGTCTTGTCAAAGGTAGAAATTAGTCGGACCAAAGGCTCTCCTCCAGGCTCTGATACCACTACGTGTACAAAAGCTACGTCCGTGTGTATAGACGGGTATGTACGTACGGTGGTGCATTTCGGCAAAGGATCGTGGACGTAACAGAAATGGAAGTACGCCCTGTTCTGCACCCTGTTCATCCAGGTCGCGTACACGAGAGTGTCCGTAGGAAAAGCAACGGCAGATAAAATCCGCATCTCGGAGGATAACTCGGTCGGATGTTCGATTTCAGTTAAGCTCACGCTACCCTGGACCACCTCTTCTAAGTCGACGTAGAACAGCTTCACCGTGGGATTCGTCGTGCCACTCTGAAACAGAAAAATAAAGGATCGGTCAACTTTCCCATCGATCTTGCACTCGCTTTTCGTTAACCACGCCCGAGATTTCGATTGCCATTTGAGATTCGGTTACAGGTGGTTCATCGAGGATATTTGGAATTTTTATTTTTGGTTATTTGAGTGCCGTGTGGAATTGGGAACTTCGGAAAAGTAACGCGAGATCGATATAAGCATGTTGACAGAAAGTGGGGATATAAACGTTAATATCGGTGTAATATCAGTCCAATTTTTCTCAAAATCGTCTCACGTGTATGTATATAGGTCTTGACACATGTTGATATTTTAATTCGTCGAGAAAAACAGGTGATTTATTATTCATGGTGGTACCAAGGAAGGTTGTCTAATATAAGCAGCGAGGTCTGATATGGGTAGCCTAATTTCTCTCGAGGCTCTCACAGATGTGTACATTGGTCTTGATACACCCTGCAGGTCTTGCAAACACATAAGTCTTATCACACGAAGAAGAAGAAGACGATTAAACATGGGGACTATTCAATTATTTTATAATTAATCAATCCCACATTCTTGTTACAAGTCTATCTATTTGTATCTATTTATAATTAATTTCTTTATAATTCTTTATAATTAATCAATCCTATATTCCATTATAGCTCACACTCGGACTTTTATTAAGTATAGGTTTCCCAGCGTTCTCGAAACCTCCCCCGCGAAGGAATTTGCAGTGAACCCTATTCCACCCCATTCTGTCGAACTCGCAAATAATAAGGTACGTGTGATTTTATTAAAATTAAGACGCGTTCATTACGTTTCCTGCACGCTGGTCGGCCAGATTATTGAAATTCCAACTCGCCGAACGTAAAAGACGCATACGCCCTCGAACTGATAAAACTCCCATCGCCATTGAAACGCGGCAACTATGCCAGCTATCTGAATATTGAAATTTCGAACAACGAAGGAGAAAGACAAAAATATATACAGAGGAAAAAAGAAGAAACGAGAAATACATGATGCTACATCAAACAACGTCAACCCCTACGATTTTAATTAACGTCGACGAGTGTTCTCGAACATTTAACGATTTCTCTTCTCTGAAACGCGGCTGATTGGCCAGATACGATTTTATTATTATTACAAGGAGAACAGGGAGGGATGAAACAAAGAAATTTACGTCGTGACACGCGGATATTAAAGAACGAGCTATAAATCCCGACGTCCTCGTCGGTTCGTCGCCACGCGGACGAGGATTTAATCAGAGTGTCATATCAAAATTGAATTATTCCCTGCGTAATTAGCTTCGGTAACAGGTGAAAACTTATCCGCGATTCGACTTCAAGGGATCCGCCGAGGGAACGTTCTCGATCGACCGCCGCCATTTCTTTTTCTGCCTTTCAAAATTCTGCGCCACTCCCTTCGGTGCTGCATAATTCTCCCGGAGTACGGGAAATGTTTAAAAATTCCGGGCATGCTCGGTCAAAAATTACTAAAAATATATATATCCAAAAAAGAAAACTGGTTTTCTCTACTTTTTATCGGACTATTTTATATTACCAATACGCCATTCCACAATTCGCGGTGACTATTGGATCCTAGACTTTAGATAAATAAATTTTGAAATTGACGATGGGAAGAAAATTCCCATTTTCAGTTATAAAGGACTGAGATTATTTTCCATATTTTTTCAGTCATTTTCAGTCATCGAATTAGATTCTACTCGAAGTATAAATTAGAGGCCTCGACTCAGTCCCGAAACTAATTCAGACGAAATTAAACTGGAAATAAAAACGAAATTAACGGAACTAATGGGAAAAATCATTCGATTAAGATTTCAACGCGTCGATACATATCGGGAATTCCTTTGAATATGAAATACTCGAAGCGCGAGTGGTTCGTTGTTAAATCCCGTGATTTCGCCGGGTTTTTACGATAGCCGGTAACAGTGTCGCGGAAATTCCGCGAGTCGTTTCCCATCGGCGGAGCAATTAAAAATGCACGAAATATCCCGCTGGCTGCTCGAACGATCGGAACGATGCTCGAAACGGTGGCAAACAAGCGAAATTAAGTCGCGAATTTTATTAAAATTTCCACGTTGCATCGCGCGGAAATTTGGAAAATCCCGGATCACTTGTCCGCCGTCGACGGAGCAACGTCTGATATAAAATCGCGCGTGTCAGTATTCGCGAGTGGTTCGCGAACGCTGCAATAAAACGTGGACGATAATATCGAAGGCAACAATTTCCGAGCGGCGAGCGACGGGAAACGGCGGAGAAATTTATAATCGCCGAACGAATGCCGGGACAAAGGCTGAAATTATTCCCGGAGATCCTTCGAAAAATCGAAGCTTCGAAATCCGTATTAATGAACGACGCGAATGTATTTCCCTAGGGGCTCGGCAACGAACGGCAAACGAATAGCCAGGGAGAAAAAAAGAGAACGAGAGGGAGAAAGAGAGGGGGAGGGGAAACAGATGGAGAGGGTAAAAGAGAGACGTGGAAAAAGGGAAAGCGAGGAATTTGGTTTATAGACGGTTAAGTGAACGATATTTTTCTCGAGCAGGCCATATCCTGGTTTACCGCAAATCAACAGGGCTATGCACAGGGGGTTGAAAAATATATAGGCAAGGTTAGTCGAGATAAAAAAAGAGGAGAGTAAGAAGGATGTTCGAGACTCTCGGAGGCGGAAAAAGAGGAGAAAGTGGAAGAGGGATACTTTACATGGCACGTCGACGGAGAAGGAGAAGGAGAAACAGGAAGGAAGGGTGGAGCGCAAAAAGGGGTGGGGGAGGGCAAAAAATCAAACGGGGCAGTCTGGTACGGAACGAGTGGATGCTCTCGAAATTTATTATGGAGAAATCGGCGAACAATGCTGGTCGAATATCTGCATCGTGAAACGGCGAAATCACGAACTCTGCAGTGGCCATTTTATTTTATGCGCACCAATACAGGGTTTCCGAACGCTTACAGATATTACGCTCGATAGCTGATGTACATACATATGCGCGTTAAACTGAAATGTTAAAAACGGTAGAATGCCTTTGGTAAAGAGAAAATTCCAAGCCCGCAAACGATATGCGCGAGACTTATGATGTATTTATCGTAGATACGGGGCGTGGTGGCGCTAGTGAGTTAAATGGAAACTTGTTATAAGTAATATCGTAACTTATTATCTTCCAATTAACATCGCATTTAAAACAAAGTAATTCACCAATGGTACACGTTTGTAACGAACGTACGCGTAGCTGAATTATCCTCTGATTTCGTAAATATAATTTTGAAAAAACTTTTTAAATGATTTTTATAAAAGCGGAATATGAAATACATATTCGAATACGCTCGATAGCTGATGTACATACATATGCGCGTTAAACTGAAATGTTAAAAACGGTAGAATGCCTTTGGTAAAGAGAAAATTCCAAGCCCGCAAACGATATGCGCGAGACTTATGATGTATTTATCGTAGATACGGAGCGTGGTGGCGCTAGTGAGTTAAATGGAAAGTTGTTACAAGTAATATCGTAACTTATTATCTTCCAATTAACATCGCATTTAAAACAAAGTAATTCACCAATGGTACACGTTTGTAACGAACGTACGCGTAGCTGAATTATCCTCTGATTTCGTAAATATAATTTTGAAAAAACTTTTTAAATGATTTTTATAAAAGCGGAATATGAAATACATATTCGAATACGCTCGATAGCCGATGTACATACATATGCGCGTTAAACTGAAATGTTAAAAATAGTAGGATGCATTTGCTAGAGAGAAAATTCCAAGATCGTAAACGATATGCGCGGGACTTATGATGCGTTTATTGTAGATACGAAGCGTGGTGGCGCTAGTGAGTTAAATGGAAAGTAGCCACAATGCTGTTGCAAGTAATATCGTAACTTATTATCCTTTAATTAGCATCGCATTTAAAACAAAGTAATTCACCAATGGTACACGTTTGTAACGAACGTACGCGTAGCTGAATTATCCTCTGATTTCGTAAATATAATTTTGAAAATTCTTTCTAAATCGTTTTTATAAAAGCGGAATATGTGAACTTATCCGAATACTTTCATGCATGAACGTACACATGTACATAGCATACTCGTTCTAGCCGTATAATAAAGGAAAATCTAATTACCATTGGACTCTGATGTTTTCCACGATTCTAATATTAAAACAAACGCGCGCTGAGCATACTTTAAAACAACAGGAAACACGAATCGCGTCAATTCAATTTCTCCTAGAACTATCAGAACGGCGGGTTGGCAGAAAATTTCCACGTTTACTTTAATGGAGCCGAATATTCGGGCACTTTTATTTCGGGCCTTTTGCGAGAGGCTCGAAGGCAAGAATACTCGCGAGCAAACAAGGTACCTTTCCACGGTGCTCGAGAATAAAGCACCCTTGTTGCAACATTCATCGAAACAAAGAAAACCGGCGAAACGAACGCGTCTCGTTTCACGAGATCGAGCATTCTTCCGTCTGGTTAAAGTCGCAGAGCACGAACGGCGAATCGATGGAAGAAAAATAATTTCACGGGCAACAAGGGGGCGTCCCGGCGCGGGAAACAGAGACGTCGCTTGCGGGGATGTATCGGGCAAGGAAATGGAAATTTAAATCTTCTGCGACGCTGTCGAGGCCTCGAATCCTCTTCTTCCCACCCGCGTCCGTCAGATTGGTCCTTTGCCCGCCTCTCCATCCATTTCCTTCTTTCCACCCCCATCACGGCCACCCTCTCTCCCTCATTGTGGAGTCTCTGTGATCTCTAAATGGACTCTTTGCTCCCACGGATTTCAGATTCGTGACGAGTATCAAAGTAGGCCACTTTGTCCGCCGGAAAATGAGTTTTCGCGGACACGTACCTGGAAAAAAGAGCAGCCGTGGCCGAAGATGCTCGTTGAATGACCGCCGAGAATCGGCTCCTCATCCCCGACCCCACTTTTTCCCGCCAAGATGGCTTTTTCCTCTTCCACTTCCTCGTGCACTCCTCCTCTCTTTTCCTTCCTCCGCCCGGTTTGT